TGCCACATTGGGAGGGAGGGAGAGGGAGGGAGAGAGAGAGAGAGAGAGGGGGGGGGGAATTCGAGAAGATGTGGAAGAAAAGAAAAAGGATGGGACAGTTACAAGGGATGGGACTCTTCCCATCTACAGGCGGGAGGAGGAAGAGGGAAGGAAATATGAACGGAGGAGGAGAACGGGGAGGAGAGAGAAAGAAAGAGAAACCAGCGCTTGGTAGCCGTGACCTTGTCTGGTACCCGACCCCACCGTGGTGCGCCTTGGCTCGCACACACATCCTTGGCACCCCACCATACGGGTACGAGGTGGGAGGATAGGAGGGAGATGGATAGAGCGCGAAGATGGGAGGAGGGAGAAAGGGAACGAAAGAAACTTGCGGAGCACATGCAAGTGCAGAGGCGGCGGGCGTATTCGTCCACTCATTGTTACCTAATTTAATGAGCAAACCGCCGAGCACGTGTCGGTGAGTACCTCAAAGCTCGTTAGCACGTCCATCGGCGTGAAATCACGAGCGCGCTAGCCCGCTCGCGAGCAGCGGGCGGATATATTCGCGCCGGCGGGACCCGGGAGGAGGGGGAGCGGATATTTTGAGAAATCCGCGAGCCGAGACGGACAAGACGAAGCTACGACGGAGTGTGTTCGCGCAAGATTACCCGCTGTTGCATCGCGTTCGCCCAGGGACGTACAAAGGGACACGGAATTGTCCGGCAAGATGGCTTCTCTATCGCGAGTGTGTTAGTCATCGATGTGCAACTGTACACACCTCCACTCGATTATTGTTACGTAGCAACTACTATTGTAGCACGCAGATTCGGTTAAATACAAATCTGAATGCGTGGGTATTGAAGACTTAAGTTTAAAGGCTTCAGCTTGAAAATTTGCACTTTCATAATGTACTCGCGAATAAACGGAGTAAAACTTAATAAAAAGATTACTTTATAAAGATCACATTTTCTGCTTTTCTCGATAAAGAATGATGCTACATCATAAATTTAACTGTTCATTTGAAAACTCAAATCCAATATTAGGATCAATTTAACTCTGCAGATAAATTGAAACGCTAATTGAAGTTTTATCTGTAAAATTCGAACAAACTGACAATGATTTATACTGTACTTTGACGTATTCTAATACCGTTATCAGATTAGAGTGATAACAAAATGAGTGATGACAAAAAGATCAATTTGAATTACACTAAAATGAATTTCAAAAAAGGGTCAAATTGATCCTAATGTCCGATAAGGGTCAAAATAGCGTTTCCATATTTTCGATTCTTCATTACACACTGGTGAATGCAGTTCTATCGTGGTCAAAGGCAGGTAGTCGGCCGATGTTACTACAGCAAACTGAAGTCAACGGCACACGATACTATTTTTCCCCACTGGATTGCTTACGAAAAGCAATAAGGATGCAGAGTTTGGGCCTGAGCAAAATGGCTGTCTTGTATTCTTAAGTCACAAGACAGTTATTGTGCGTTACTTTAAGAACAAGATTTAAAACATAAAACATTGTCTTGTCCTACAAGACAGCTATTCTGCTCGGGTATTTTAGACCGGACGACTTCAGGTCACTGGATTGCTTACGATAACCAAAAAGGGGGTTTGGATCAGGTCACTTAAGGCTGAATCCTAAGAATCCTTCTCGTAAGAAACCCAGCAGGGAAAATCGTGTGGCAGTCCGACATTGTCAGCAAGTTAACCACCTCTGTGAAATTGAAACCCTTTTTTCAGAACTTGATTTCTCAGATTGATTGTGCAATAAACATTTTTAATTCTTGCAATAACAATTTTAATTATATCTGATCCAATCGTTTCTCTGTTATACGCGAGAAAAGTGGTGTAATGGATTTCAATTTCGTGCCTGAATCTCGCTATTCACCGTGCAGGCACCTTGCCAATTCGACCGAGATTCCACAGAGAACGCCGCTGGAACATTTCAACTTCACAAGATAACATTGGCCCGATCTCTGCCTGTGACTGTCTTGGGTATGGTTTACGTATTATTTGTGGGCAAACTTTATTTTCCTTTACAAAATTATAACAAAGCGTAATTTCGAAATGAATATTAAAATTAAATATTGTTCTAATATGGGCGCACGTCTATTTTTAAAAGCGCGATTAAGCAGCGGCAGCGTTTGCAATCGCGTGGCTGATGAAATTTAACATAAAGCAAAAATAACTTTCCGAAAGAGAAATAGGAAATCTTATCAACGTAAAAACAAAAGATAAAGTAAAGCGACGGCGATAGTTTCCCAGGCATATTGCGCAAGAGATTACGTGTCACGTAATCGTTCAAACACGGTACCGAGCGACGAATAAAGCCTCCTTGTGCGCGCGGTTAGTGTGACGAGAATTTCGATTTTAAGAAATCCTTGAGAGAGAGAGAGAGAGAGAGAGAGAGAGAGCGCGGTTCGCGAACACTTCACCTGAGAATCCTTTCCGTCACTGGCGATGAACAAAGAAGCTCTTTGTACGGCTGAACTCCGCGCCGCTGTCGGAGGTTCCTTCTCTCGGGTCGCGTATTGCGCGGATTTCGAAATTGCGGGAGAAACGGCGAAGACGCTCTCCTTCTCGAGCGCATCCTTTAATCGACTTTCGACGTTGCAACGTGCTTGTGAGAAGCCGTCGTAGCAGCTCGCCAACTTTAAACGGCGCCTTGTTCCGACGTCAGTTACAAAAACTCATCGCGACCCTCCACGCGGAGCTTCAAATCGTACGAAAGTTCGCGTTCGAGTTGCGAACCCAGTAATACCAGGCAAAACGTGCTCGACTTTTTAATTGTAACAACTTCTGCGTTCAAACTTTCACAACAGCTCTATGCTCTGAAAATAGTTGATGCTTACTTTGTGCATTTAGACGTAATCGTTTGATACACCTAAGATTGCTGCATAAGAAAAACTT